AGAATAGACCCCTGGGGAACTCCATATCTGATGCGTTGAAAGTCTGACTTCACTCCGTTTATGGTTACATACTGCGTTCTGGACGCGAGATAGTTTTTAAATAATAATAACGCAACACCACGGACTCCATACAACTGAAGTTTCTTTAAGAGTATGTCATGTTGAACGCAATCGAATGCTTTTCTAAGGTCAAGGAATATGCCTAGCGTATATACTTTTTGTTCTATGTTCTCAAGGATTTGTTCTTTTATTCCAAGCAGTGCAACTTCTGGTGACTTATTTTTCTGAAAACCGAATTGCTCCTTTACTAGAATATTATTTGAGGTCAAAAATTTAACAAGTCGTTTATTTATAATATTTTCAGCTAGCTGCGAAAAAACTGAAAGCACAGAAATAGGTCTATAGTTGTTTAAATCATTAACTGGTCCACCTTTGTGTATAACAGCCACACGTGCATGTTTCATTTTGTCCGGGAAGACGCCTGTAGATAGAATGAGGTTACAAACGTGAGCCAGTGGAAAGCTGATTTCTTCACAAACGGCCTTTAAGGGTCTAGGCTTGATGTCATCAGTACCGGAAGCGCAGTCATCTTTTAGTGCCCTAATTAGGTCTATAATTTCACACTGATTAGTCGGATATAAGAAAAGAAAATCTAGGCAATTTGCCCTTATGAACTGTTCACATGGTAAATCTACGCGGTCATTTGAAGGAGCACCAGCAGTAACAAAGTGGGCGTTAAACCGGTTTGCTATCTGCTCTTCCGATAGCGCCTCATCGTAAAATGGCACTTTTTTTGGCGAGACGTTTTTAGAAGTTAACTCATTTACTGTTTGCCACATCAAGCGGGGATTCCCCATAACTTCCGAAAACTTTTGCATGTAGTATTCACATTTTGCTTTTTTAATATCAGTGTTTAGTTTATTCCGTACTTTTTTAAACATGCGAAGGTCAGTTTCACTCCTTGTTTTTAAAAATATCTGATACAGCTTGTTCCGGTTTTTAATCCTTTGATATAATTCGCTAGATATCCATGGCTTGCGAGTTTTCTTATGTTTTTTTCGCACCTTTAAGGGAAAAAACGTGTTATACGCGGAAATAAAATGGGATAGAAAAACGTCATATGCCCTGTCTGCATCGTTTTCTCTCAAAACAATACTCCAATCTTGACACGAGATAAAATCCTTAAATCTCTGAATATTTCGTTTAGAACAATCCCTGAATAACGCTTCTTGTTTATAGCCGCGTGGCTGCTTACAAGGCAGAAGACAGTATATTGGTAAATGGTCACTTAGATCGCACATCAATGTGCCTGATCTCAAATCATCAGAAGGAAGATTTGTTATACAAAGGTCAAGAGTGGTTTCTGTTGTCGAAGTAATCCTAGTTGGTACATTTATTGTGTTCGTGCAGCCATACGATTCAAATATTTCTTGTAAACGCGTGTAAGATACATTGTCCGTGCCAGCATTAATGTTTAGATCTCCAACCAAGACAGCTTGTAACTTCATCGATACGCTTTGATCAAGTAACGTTTCTGAAAAATGAAGGAAATCACTCACGGATCCTGATGGAGGGCGGTACAAAAGAGCAAACAAGATGTCACAGCATTGTAATGCAACGCGCTCAAAGTTGTCATCTACAATTTTGTATTCGGAAATTATGTTATATGAGAGCTCTGAACGAATATAAATGGCAACCCCACCACCACTCTTTTTTGAGCGGCATGCAGACACACAATCGTAGCCATCTAGCGCAACACAATCATCAGATAAGAACCACGTCTCACTAAAACAGATAATGTCAAAATGATGGTTGAGTTCGGATAAGAACAAGTTCACCTCATCGATTTTATTTCGTAAGCTTCTGGCGTTTAAGTGAAAAAGTGAAAGGTACGTGACAACTCCTTGTAAGAACGAGCTGCCATTGCCCGACTTAACAAACTGGCACGGACTGCAACTTCTAAATCAGGAAGACGGAAACATCAAAGTCAAATTTGGGGGTTTTACGTGCCAAACCTACGATGGGCATCTGGCACGCCCCAGCGGAGGACTGAGGATTAATTTCGACCACCTGGGGATCTTTTGACGCGCAACTGAAAGCTCGGTTACACGGCGCCTTCTCCGCAATAAGCCTCCGTCATATTGCGGGCACCTCGGTCGGGATTCGAACCCGCCACATGGGGATCCGTAGGCCGGCGCTCTCGCCTCGGAGCCACCGAGGCGGCTGAAGACGGAAACATATCACTCTTTTAGTAAGAACCTTCACCATTGACTAAAGAGCGATACCGGTGAGTCGACTGTCTTTCTGAGTCCCATCTAAAGAAACTATTATTCATGTTTAACACATGTCGTGTGCGCCAGAAAAACCCCTGTACAGTATGGTTCATTTTGAGGCACATAAGGTTGTTGCGGTGTAAACAGGAAGATGTGATTTTTGGTACATATATAGACCAACTCAGCTCTTTGACCTGACGTCATTGCGGTGGCGCTGCTGTCGACACTGCGCATGCGCAACGGGTCGCTTCTCCCAGATCTGGTTTCTGCACACGCGCTGTGTGGGAAAACGAGGGCTTGTTTTGTAAGCACTGTGTTGGTGTATACGGTACTATGAGAGCGAATTACTGCCTCAAAGTATTCAAAAGGAATGTCAAAGTAATTCCAAAGAAATGTCATTACTTTTGAAAATTGTAATGTAATGTCATTACCTTTAGTCTGCGGTAATTGGTAATGTAATTTTTTTACATTTTTGCAGTTTTCAGAAACGTAATTAGTTATGTAATTTAATTACGTTTTGAAAGTAATTTTGCCATCTCTGCTCCCGACGCCATCTATCAATACGAACGCCAAACACACACCGCTACTAGACTCGGTCGTGTGGGTCTCCGCCCGCCGTAGACCCTGGCAAGTTTCTGGGCCATGTTTTTTACTAAAAGAGAACCACGCTTTGTAATTTTACAGGAAAAAAAGCGACCTGTGACGAAAAGTTTTGATTGCTACGTGCAAGCGTCGATTTCAACGGTCCATTTTAGATCGAGCCTGGTGACTTGGACCACCCTATATATAAAACTTGTAGCAGGTAGCATGGCCTCTTTGTGAAAGCATCCGTAAAGTTTGGACTCGCAGTTTGAAGAATAAAGTGTATAAAACGCCTCTGGAAAGTCCCATATTGCAACTCACCCGATAAACGAGCCGTGACGTAACAAGATTATATAGGCCTCCTTAGTGCGGTATTCGGTTTGCATTGATTTGGTACGCTCCTAAGCGTGCCAGGTCCACGCACAGGGGCTCGAACATTGAGCCCGAGCGACGCCAGAGTGCACACTAAAAGTTTTTACACCTTTAAGGGTGTAAAGGGGGTGTTTTGGCAATTTACACCCTTGACTACACCCCTTTAGCACCCTTAAATCAGCTACTGCACCCACATTATTGTACCGAGAGGGGTGTTGTTTCGTGTTACACCCTCCATTTAGTGGAGGGTGTGAGAAGGGTGTAGAAGAGGGTGCTAAATAATAATATGAAAGGATTTCTAAAACCTTATATGTGGACCTCCCCATAAATGTATAGGTTAAATTTATGCTTAAAAACATCGGTTGTTAGCAGTCGTTTTTTATAATGTTAGTTGTAATTCATGCAAATAGTTGATAATAAAGTGCCTCTCCTGCGTGCAATTTTTTGTGTTCACAAAATTTTATACGAGTTCATATTCAATTTTCTTAAAAATTACTCCATCCACAAAAAATTGGAAACCAGGGAGAAATTCTGAATGCTATCATTTTTTACAAATATTTATTGATCGAAGTGTAGCAGTAAGAAAATCAGTCTCCAGTTTACTTCTGACAACACAACATGAAATCAAAATATAATATGTTTGACAAATATTCATGACATGCTGCCAGAACCTGTCACATTACCATGTCAACCTATGAAAAATATTGATTTGAAAATATGACGACATGCACAAGAACTCACACACATAAAGAAGCAGAACCCATAAAAAACCAGTCCGAGACATAAGACTTCCTAAAATATGGGCTAATGCAGTATCCTGGTGTAGATCACACAAAATCTGGAGAACCAGGAGAAAAAAGGAGACATTTGACTTTACTGTCGACAGTGACATCATTCTATTTTTACATTTATCAAAAGAAAAAAACCAAGAAAAATAAGCTGTCTTGTCCAACCATTTTAAACAATCAAAAAGCTAATTCTACTCAGTGTGTGTTGTCCAACCAGTTATCGCAGCAAGAGTCAACTGAGAAAAGGTGACAGTTGTTTTCACTGCCTGTTTTTCGACTGTCTCTCATCGTTGTTTAGCTAGTTTCTGCAGAGAGCACCAGAACTGAGTGGGCTACCATTCAATGATCCATGAAATCTCATAGCAATGAGTGACGTGCGCTTATAACAGTCTGTCCTTTGTGCTCCCGCATGTATAATGGTTCTGTTGTACAGTCTGTAAGTGATGTTACAACTTTGAATTCTTGCGTCGCACGGACAACATAGACGTGAAAGTGCTCGTCGAACCGGACTGTCTCAAGCACATTCCCCAAAGATAAAAGCACTTTGTTAACATAAAAAATTTGACATATATGCAGAAATTCGGGCAGAGCATCGTCAGGAACACTTTGGACAAGAACACATCCTGTTTTGTAGACCCTGCCTTCTATGCTCACAGAGTTCGCTACGAATGAATCAACAGTTTCAAGATCATGCTGAGAGATAAACTCCTTGACGCATTCAGGAAGATGTTCACAAAGTATGGGGCGACAACCTGTTGTGATGGGAACGCTCTTCTCACCAACAGCTGCAAAAGAGAAACACTGCAAAAACTGATGCCTCACTGCTAGACTGTGCGAAAGACTCTTAAAGTTGCGGATTTTACGAGCCATGTCTTTGAAATATTGGTGCTTTCCCTCGAAGCGCATCGCCCAAAGTTCAACTAATGGTCCAAACCTTTCCATGCACGACGGATAGTGAATAAGGTAGTGCATTTTGCAAGGAACTTTAACAGATGGGAACAATGTCTTGAAGTCGAGACAAAAAAAAATTAATCTTCCTTTGCAGGTAGCCAATGTGCGAGACTGGGATTTTCCGGCTCATGATGATATCCATGATTTCGCGAAAAAGCAAGTAAAGTTGCCATACTTCGTGTTCTGTTGGAACACATTCGCCAACGAAAAAGGTTAGATGACGAAATAGGCAAAAGACCTGCGTGGCTGATCCTTTCATGGTTGCCTTTCCTTTAAGAAATTCACTAGAAATAGGCTCTGGCTTATTTCGCGCATCACAAGGGTCATAATTCCACTCACTAATTTCCTTGTTTAACTGTGCAAGAGTAAAAAGTCCTTGTGATACTAAGGAAGAAATGATGTGTCTTAGTGCAAATGGTATAACACCCTCGTGCAAGTCGTGCATAACGTCAGGCGGAAAATGTTGTGTGGCATTGAACCCCTGGCATGTAAGAGCACAAGCTGCAGTGACCCCATACAATGATGCAGTTGGCAGTCCAGCCTTCAACATGTTCATATGATGCTCGTGACCTTCCGGTGTGCGCAGCACGAAATCGGTCTCCAGGTGCTTGTAGTTGATTTCACAGTGCACGGCCATGCAGAACCTGCAAATCCTACCTTTGTTGAAACTACGTTTAAAGCCTCCCATTCTATGGCTCGACAGATTATCCCCAGTCAAAACAAAGACTGACCCTCTCATCACTTTTCCGTTTGCAACTATGCCTTCAGTTTCTAATCTGCTCACATCCTCAAGCAAAGGTGCAAGAATCTTAGGCAGACCATAGGAGTCCACATGGTGGTCATTCACTAAAAGTGCCAGGTGCATTCCTGATAGCGCAGAGCGGAACCTTGCAGGAAAATTCAGCACTGAGAAATACACGGCGGTCATCTTATGCTTTCCTCTTTTGCTGCCCAAAGGGTTGCACACCTCAAATTCATCAGTATATAACTGCAGGCAGATTTTGTGATGGTCACCTTCAAAGTAGGCATGGTCGCGAAATGCACTGCCATCAAACACAGAACACATATGGTTGTCAACCTTTGTGTAAGCATTAAAGTCACCCGATAAGGTTGGATGTTCAAGGATACACGTGAGGAGATCACAGAGCGGCACATACTCCATGGTGTCGTCTTTTCCATTGCTGTTGGTTCCTAGCACTACTGTACGGGGCTCAACAAGTGGAAGATGTGTCCTCCAGAACGCGTTCCGGCCAGCTGTCGTCAGTAGCCGGTCCAGTTCGTCAACACAGAATAGCTCCCTCACGTTGGCGGCCACCTCGTTGTTGAGCTGGAGTTGTTTATGTTCCAAAATGGATTTTACGAAAGAAATCACATCATTTGTGATTTCATCTAAGGTTGATTCTGGAAGTCGCCTTCCCTCTTTCCACTTGAGAAGAAGGAGAGCCAGCTGCTTTACACAGCCGCTTGGACCCTGGGTGGATTCACACACTTGTGAAGTCTCTGTACGCAGCTCCTCTTGCCTTTCTTCTGCGTCCGGATTACTCTGTACACCAACGTCATCACTTTGAAAGGCATCCCCAACACTCGGTGCTGCATCCACCAGTTCATTCGCTCCCACGGCTCTTTCTCTTTCGACTGATCCAGGGTGATTTCTGTACACATGTTTTTTATAGGAAGCGAAGAGTTTAAATGTCCGCATGCAGCCACTTAGGCCGCACACCCAGTTGCTTTCGTACCCATGAACTGAGTGAAAGTGCCTGAATAGTGCCCTCAACGAAAAAATGTGGGACGCACACCTTGGGCACCGGAAGTATCGGACACCTGGCATCTGAAAAGAAAGAAGCCCTCTTTTCATTGATATGACCTTCGTTACGTAAGTTTGATGCTCACACTACACGCAATCAACAAGAGGCAAAGTGCAATGTAACGTTTCTAAACCCGAGAAACACCGAAAAAGAAAATGCACACACAAACGAAAAAAAAAAAAAAATACACGCAGTCTCTAACACAGCTGTGAACTCTTCGAGACGGTGGGTGTGTGGTCCTTTTCCGTGTCTCATTTCTGTCCTCTTGTGTTTAAAGTTTACCAACGTTTTAAATTTACCTTCTTGCCTGTGCCTTTACTCTTCCTTCAGTTGCACTGACATGCAGGTATCGAAGAAATAAAAATCGAGAAGAGACAGAAAGGACAAAGTCGTGCCTTGTCCATCCTTTTCCTTTGTGTCTTTTCTGTCCATGTTTTCATTTCAAAGGACCGAGGAAACATAAAGAGCACAATCTCTTCCGACATTAAACATTACAATGTGGCGTGAAGTATGTAATTGCAATAAATTAATTTCTGCGTCAAGATAAACTAAGTTGGAAGTAAGTTTAGAGAAGATAAATTATATCATATGCCATTAGTCAGTATCATATATAAAGTTACTCGCTTCTTTTTGCCGTACTGAGTCATCGCTTGCGAACATGACTCTAAACGACAAAGCATAACTTTTATTTGGAAATATTTGTAAAACATAGAGCACGGCCACTAAACACGATGACAGGGTACAAGAAAACACATATTTTCAACTTTCAACACACAAAGTATTGTCGAGTTAGAGCAGGGGTAACCTCGCTTTACTGCAGTGATGTGATTGGCCTAAGCCGTTTTGGAGCACCCTCTGGAGCAGCCAAAACAGAGTTGTGGAACAGCAAATCTGGCTTTTGGAGCAGATATCCGTAGAGAAAAATATATATTCATTTCAAGTAGTGGACAAACGAAGGACACATTGCTCGCCGCAATCAACCAATTATTGTTAACATAGACCACCTGGGAGTCTTTCAACATGTAACTGAAATGCCAATGACATGACACATTTTGTAATGCTTCAGTTTGTGGCGATAGCCATTGAAAAAAGAAGATCGCGTGGAATAAAAGTGCCACATCAGCTCGATTTTGGAATTTGTCAGACGTAGCCGCTTTTCGTCTGTCTTTTTCTACATTTGGTGACCCGGACGTGATACAAATATATCGGACCACATGTTTAAATTTATTTGAAAATGACCAGCTTAGTAGTAGATATCACATTATTAGGTTTATTAGTAATACAATAAATGGAAGCAATCTCCGACTGATGAAGCACGTAACTACTGCCTTGTAATGCAAAATTGTCGCGCGAGCGGAGATGGCTGTTCGATCGAAACCATGCCACTCCGCTCCGCCTCAACTAATTCCCAAAATTGTATGCAAAATGTAACTGTCCAACATACGAGAAAAAAAAAAAAAAAGTCCAGCGGCACGTTCTTGCCAAGGCGGCAAACGAGGTACAAGCTAAACACAGAAAGAAAGAAAGAAAAAAAAAAAGAAAGAGGAAAAAAAAAAAAAAAAAACCTGAGCGCATCGATGCAAGACATCGCGAGCCAGGATCAAAAAGTTCTTGGATCGGTTTGTGCAACGACTGAACTCGAGACAAATAAGCACGCTGTGCGGGTTCAGCATGCGGACATTGCGTTCTTTGCTTTAGCTCACTTCTCTTCACCAACTTCCTTTCGCGGCTCATTTTTCACGTACCCGGGTACGTCTCGAAAGAAAGCCTACCGAGATTAACCTAGGTAATCAATACTTCGACACTGCAGTCTTTGAGCTTAAGGTATGTTTGTAGTAGCGCATTAAACAAGAACAGGATTGTCCTTACGTTTCAGTTCAGAAAGTGCCATTACTGCAGTAACGTGGGGACGGCAACACCCGATGTCGTGCGACCACAGTGACTGGAAGGCAGGGACCAAATATGGTTGGCCACGGCCGTTGCTTTTAGGAGCGAGTGCTTCAGCCCATAAAATCACTCCCGCCGCGCAAAAACATGGTTTCGTTTCACAGCATGACGGCATGGCTGGTAACCAGCACGCTAGCGTCGTAGCGTCCGCACATGCCCATGTCTATGATTAAATTTTTTTTTAAAAGACGCGAGACTAGAGACGGCAGGAAAAACCATGCAAGACCAGATGAACGATTGATGCAGGGTACTGTGTCGGACGGCTGCTTGAACCACCTAGCTCATGTGTGCTCAATTACGGTACCCGGTTTAGTTTCGGTTTTCAAAGGCGACCAATATTCGTCCTTTGGCGCAGGCTACCGTAGCAGGACGTAGCGGGGTTAGCCCCTTGGCGCAGTTTGGGGCAGCAATCACATCAGTGCTATAGAGAGTGGCTCCAGAGAAAGCCGCGTGAAGGGAACGGTGCGAAAACGAAACTTGCCGAAATAGCGGGAAAGAACGGAAGGAAAGGCGGCATCCCGATTTCTTTCCCACCAGCATGTTCATTCGCCCGCTCCGCCAAGGCTGCCAATTTTCGGTGGCTCTGCTCTGAGGAAAAAGCTGACTTTCTCTCTCCCCGGCGCTTCTTCCACGGCGAGATTTTGTGGCGGGTGGAAGATAACGCGGAACGCAGCGTGCGTCAAATTGACAGGAGCAGGCAGAGACCGAAATCAACGCGTCCTGGGTCATATATACCTTTGGATGCGTACGACGTCGCTCGGATGTGATGCTCTGCAGTGGCTGTTTCGTTAGTCAGGACGGGAAACCGAAGCAAGTGTCCACACGGCCACACCACGTGAGTGGGGACAACGTGGTCAGGACGGGGAACCGAAGCAGGTGCCCACGCGGCCACTCCACATGAGCGCAGCCAACGTAAAGTGAAGCCGTGACAGCCCTCCACGCGCTGCGAGCAGTGCCAGCAAATGCTGGACCAGCGTTACCAGATGGAAAAAAAAATCGAAGTCAGTAGATGGGCCCCATACATATCAGTAGATCACCAAACAACCAGTAGATACTAAAAAGAAAGTAAAAAAAAGACCTTTGTGTATTTCTCATTGGTCTTAATACATAACATAACATCATAAATAATATACTAAGAAACACACGTAGAAATTAGTTGCGTTTTTTGCTTGCAGCATTTTTTTTTTTAATTCCAATTTCCAGCGGCCAGGTGTAAAACACATTTTTTTCCAGAAAGCAAAATGATTACCCTTAGTACTTTCCAACGATGTAGGTACATTCCCATGCTGTATTCAACGAGCTTGTATATACTTTTTTTCTTTTTGGAGGGGGCCGGAGGTGTAAAATGGCCGCTATCTGAAGAGTTGCCGCTTCTCATAGTACGTGGACGACACTGATCTCTATGACAATTGTGGACGAAACCAAGCAAAGCCAAAGACGTATCCGTTCCGAAAGTACGCGCGTACGCGCCTGCGTTGGCCATTGAGATCAGTGGCGTTGGCTGCATACGGCTTTGGGTAGATGAATCGAAGGATACGTAGATGCATATGTATAGTTTCGTTCCTAATAATTTCACATGCGTTTGATGGCTAACATGAGAACAGCCCTTCAAAATTGTGCATTGCTGTGCCCTTGAAATGTTTTTTCATTCTGTTGAAAAGAGGTCTCCGACACTCCACTCAACTTTGGCGGGGTGGCGGAGAGCAATATAGAGATCAATGGCGGAGTGTGGCAAAGCCGGCAAAGCAGCTCGACCATGAGCTCGGCGCTCTATGCGGTGCAAGGTGCCGCCATTACTTTCTGGACGTTGCCTGTTTACGCCGTTTACGTATCCTCAATTTTGAGAGCTGTCGAGTAGTAAACTTGTTAGTGAGCGCGTTGGTAATGATATAGGTTTCAGAAAGAGTTATATACGTAAAGACAGGGGACGGGACAACATATCTTTCAACTTTCAACAAACAAATGATTTATTGCCGGACGCTTCTCCTTCGGAGCTCCACTACAGGAGAGGGAAAGTTAAAAGGAGGGAGAAGGGAAAGAGGGGGCAAGACAAGGCCCCGGGAGGAAACTGCGGGAAAGTAAAGCGCAGAGACAGCGGGAAGGAGAGGAAGGAAGGAGGCATCCCAATTTCCCTCTCAGGAGCAGGGACCACTCGCCCGGCCCGTCAAGGACGTCAACTCCGGTCTAAGGAATGTCACCTCCCTCGACAGCCCGCTGTGTTCGCCCCCGCAACGGTCTCCCTGTGCTCTTACACCTCCCCTCATCGCCCTCCCCTCTTTCCCCATCGCCTCCCCAAGTCGAGCTCTGAGCGGCTAGCCGCCCCAGTAAATCTGTAGCTGCAAGTCGAAAGCTGTGTCGTCTGTTTCGTCCTCTTGTGTGTTTCTTTCGTTTTAAGTCAATGGAAATGTTCTTCGGCGCCTCTTTTATGGCGTACGCCTCCACGATCTCGCGCCCGTAGCGGTTCTTGATGGCCCCCTTGGGAGCAGGGGCGGATTTAGAGGGGGGGTCCGGATGTCCTGACCCCCCTCTTGAATTCTGCATGTGTAAAATTTAGGGCGTGAAACGAGGGAGAGGGGGGGGGGTCCTAAACATGTGGTGCGCTGACCAACACCTGACCCCCCCCTCAGGAAATTCCTGCATCCGCCCCTGGTTGGGAGTCCTCGTCGTTTTTTTTTCTATTTCTCTCCTATGTTCGCGCAGGTGGCAGTTGAGGCCGCGCCAAGAGGCACGCGGCCCCTTTCGTTCCCTGCGCGGTCGGACGGGTGTATTCCGTGCCCTTCTCGTGCGGGGCAGAGTACATCGTACAGACGGGCCGCTGCCTCAACGACCGCCTGCGCGAACATGAGAGAGAAATAGAAAAAAACGAGGGGGACTCCCAACACCCCATGGTCCATCACCTCAAGGTTTGCGCTCCATGTGCCCCCGAGTTCCCGTCCGCGCGTGTTCTGGGGGCCAACAAGAACCGCTACGGGCGCGAGATCGTGGAGGCGTACCCCATAAAAGAGGCGCCGAAGAACATTTCCTCGGCCTCGCTGTCGCTGTCGGAGAGAGAGGTGACATTCCTTAGACCGGAGTTGCCGTCCTTGGCGGGCCGGGCGAGTGGTCCCTACTCCTGAGAGGGAAATCGGGATGCCTCCTTCCTCCCCCTCCTTCCCGCTGTCTCTGCGCTTTACTTTCCCCGAGTTTTCTCCCGGGGCCTTGTCTTGTCCGCCCCCTTCCCCTTCCCCCTCCTTTTAACTTTCCCTCTCCTGTAGTGGAACTCCGAAGGAGAAGCGTCCGGCAATAAATCATTTGTTTGTTGAAAATTGAAAGATGGTGTTCTCCCGTCCCCTGTCTTTACGAATAGTAAAGTGTTTTTGTTTAAATTCTTAGTTTTGGCGCGGTTTGTTCCTCAAGTATTTTCCGGAATATATTGTGTGCTTAAGCTACACTAGGTGGCGCAAGCTGCCACATATACACCATTAACCATCGGTTCAGCCATCTATCCACCCACAGCCTTCACCCACTTATCGTTCCTTTGTTCTGTTTGGCGCGTTACTTGCGGTGGTGACGAATGACGGTTGGCGAGTTTACCGAGTTGACGAGCCAAACGAATGTCAGTATTTTCGCGCCTAGCTGCTCGCGTGGCTTTAGCAGCGTTCGACAATGCCGCCCGTGCGGTGTCTGGTCACCGTGCCTCACCTAAAGGCTGCCAGGTCTTTCAAGCTCGAGGATGGATCGGTAAACTCTTTGAAACATGCGGTGGCTACGTGCCCCGTTCTTGGGAACTCCATCAAACTGTCTTCTGTCAGGTTTCAGGCAAGTGCCTCGTTTCTGTTGACATTTTCCCCGTGCTCGAACTGTAGCAGGTCACAGTAAGCTAAGTAAACGAAGGATAGAGAAGACACCGAACTGCGAAGCTGTGAACCACCTAATCCAGAAAAAAATATCGAAGTGATAAGATTTTAACCGCCTAAACCACCGTCATCTTCGAATCTATCTTGGAAAGGGTACATGTTATATGAGGAAATGACGTTTTAGCGCGAAGAGTAAAGTATAGACCGCATGAAAGCGATTTGGCGAGTAACGAGGCAAGCGTCGGTGAACCCGCTTCGCTGTCGCTCGGTCACTCGCGCGACGAGGCAATCCGCATGAAAGCAACGGGAGCAAGCGACATTGTAATCCAAAAGGAAGTGTCTAGAGTTCCGTCCAGGCGGAACGATGGTCGCCACTAAAGTAACGTCCAAGTTGGGTCTCGTATAAAGCAAATGTTGAAGGCTAGTTTCTGAAGGAGTAAAGCTATACGCACTCCGGAGTGCGCTTCGGACGGAAATGGCTACACGCACTCTGCGGAGAGCTCATGCCGCTCGGGTCACCCTTTTCGAATGGCACGTGTATCGCTGGGGAGCCCGCCTGCGTTCCCCCCGCTTCGCGGCGACAGTGTGAGGCTGCTAATTACAAAACGTAACCAGTACACGCCGCTTCGCGGCGTCCAGCCGGCAACCCAAGCCCCGCTGTCCCCGATCGCATCAGGAAAGGGAGTCCCGTACCATTTAGTTTTGCGAAGTTTCGTCGGCAACGAATCTTCTAGTGTTCACCGGAAAAAAAAAAAAAAAAAAAAAAAAAAAAAAAAGTAAATATTGCCAAATGCTTCGACAAAACAAAATGTTTGAGAAAACGAAACAAAAAGAAAGTGGGACCACGGCGGATCGAACCCACGTCCACTAGCGTACGAAGCTGACACCTTAACCACTACGCTATGCCACCGCTTAAAAGAATGAGTTGTTGTGACTATTCCTTTTATATGAGACTAGCGGAGTGCGTATAGCCATTTCCGTTTGAAGTGCACTCCGGAGTCCGTAGGCTTTATCCTTTCTGAAGTGGTGGTGTAGTGTAGTGGAAAGGTGTCTGCCTTACACGCAGCGGGCCCGGGTTCGAACCGCAGTGTGGGTTTACTTCTTTTTTTTTCTTCTCGATTTTTTTTTTGTCGGTATTCACATTTCTCTTTTACAATTATCTCTGAAAGACATGAAGGCATGTTGTCGACGAAACTTCGCTGAACTAAATGGCCGGAGGTGCAATAGGGCATAGCGGGTTTGGGTTGCTGGCTGGGCGGCGTGTACGGAGGGCTAAGTGGGTTAATAGGGAGTTTTCATAGACCGTTTTCGCCGTCCCGCAATGCCCTACGCAGCTTGCTATGATGTCGGAACTCTACAGTCAAGGGCATGGGCGCACAGGCGCAGTAGTGGCTTCTTCGTTGCAGAGGGCTTAGCGGTGAACGAAACATGGTCTACGAAAACTCCCTCTTAGTTTTGTAATTAGCAGCCGCATACTGTCGCCGCGAAGCGGCGTGAATGCAGGGGAGGGGGGGGGGGTGTTAACGAGCCCCCCAATGATACACGCGCCGTCGGAAAAGGGTGACCCAAATGGCACGAGCTCTAGCTCCGCGTTCCAGACGGAACTCTAGTAGCAGCTATCGTTCCGTCTGGAACGCTAGCCACACCGTACGTCCAAATCGCCGCCTTCCCTAGGTTCACAGGGGCGAGAGAGGAGGGTGGGGGAGAAGGTTAGGCATATCCATTTCAGTGCTCTGTCTGGACGTAACGCTAGCCACAGCGTTGGACGTAACGCTAGACACCTCTTTTTTTTTTACTTTTTTTTTGTAGGGCATTTGACAATATTTACAGTAAGCTCTCCACGTCGTGCGTATGGCCATTTCCGGTCAACGTGCACGAGCTCGTGCCTATAGCCTTTACTCTTCATTGAATAGGACTGATTTGAGCCAGCACATATGAGAACTGAAAAGAAGCTAAGTGCCTCTGGAGCTGATTTACTAACTATATAAAAATATTTTTGGGTTAGATATATGTGAAGCTAGTCCATGCGCATACATTTTACAGATGCTGGATTTGGTATTTGAAGAATACACTGACCTTGCTGCGGACGACGAAATACATGACATGGCTAAAATCACTCTCCTGCCCATTGTAACTGTCCCAGAGGGTGGGCCAGGCTCATCTTCCACTCAGGTATTTGGTTTTGCAACAAGTTCAAGGTATATCAAGCATTAATGAAAAAAAAAAAAAGAAACGGTTTATTACTAGGAATATAATCACAACTGTGATAGGCTGTGTCTATACGAGCGTTTTTTTAATTTTTTATTCTTTAAAAATTTTTTAATGGTGATAGCTATGTTAATGCCGCCTTCACTGTATGTTTGTGGAGCTTGGTGCCTGATTATGATTGGTAGAAAAGCGTCCTGTCACTTCTGTACGTCCGTCACTATCCAGCAAGTGTGACGCCGGCGCCTCCAGCAGACACGCTGTCTGTCGAGATAGTGGCGAAGGGCATGAAACACGGGCGTCACTTTTTTTTTTGCATCATAATCAGGTGCACCTTTCAGCGTGTGGTTTTGGGTTAACCCTTTAGACGCCGAGGACGAGTCTGACTCGTCCACGGAGTTCGTCCCGCAAATGCCAAGGATGAGTGTGGCTCATCCGCTCGTTTCAGCCCGTGTCTGTAGTGCCAGCGACGAGGCACGCTCGTCCAGTCTATTTTTGTGTTGAGAATAGTTCTCCCGCTAGCCAGCAGGAGAAAAAGCGAACCAGAATTTCGCTAATTTTTGCATCATTTTGAGAATTTATCATGCTCCTCCGGCAACATGGGTTTTTAAAAATGGCGTCTCTTTCGAGTGGTGACATGCATCGCTCGTCTAGTCGGAAGCGCGTTTCTTTAGTTGATGATGAGTTTTCTACAGGGTGAAACAAGGAGACGGCACGCTCTTTAAATCGACCGGAAAATTCGGTTTCTTAACCTATCGCGCTACGGCTTTGTGCAGCGTTGCCCACAGATGGTGCATTTTTTTTGTAAAATTTGCAAAGAGCGAACTTACCCGAGGAAAAAGTAAAGAAAGAAAAAGGCTTAGCTCCTATGGAAACACAGCGAAGCC